TCATCATTTGGCTTTTGTAATACATGTGCATGTAAAATGTACAATGTATATTTCCCCTTCCATTTTTCTGGAGGGGTATCGAAACGTTCGCACATTCAGTTGTCAACTGTGCTACTGATTTTCCAGAATAACATGCTCATTTAATGTAATGGCGAACTGACACACGTGTACATGTACAGTACATGTATCATCAGAAAGATGTCTTCATATCAAGGAAGAATAAACCATGTCAAAATGGAAGCAGACTTATCAAAGTATCTTGTTATAACCTGAAAATAAAAATACATGATTGTTAAGATTTAGGCCAAAATTCAGATTTGGGTGGTGACTATACCATCACGCACATTACATGCCCTAGGCTACACGTACATAGGCCTTTGTGTACATTTACAAACAATGTACTGTACGTATGGTAGGTCTAGGCTTCAGTAGTTGAAAGTGTATGTACGTGCATGAATTATTTTTGGCATTAATTACTTTGGTTGCTTGAATAGGATATTTTGTCGACCTTAGCAATAGAATTCATTATACTCTAGGAAAAAAGAAAACATGTTTATGCCAAGTGTAGATTGTGTGTTGAAATTTGAAGGCGCCTGTAGTGCAATAGTAGCGTCTAGGCGAAATGGGGTGGAGCAGTGAGCCAGAACAAAGATCCAGAGATTTCCAATCATTGCGGGGGGGGGGGGCAGTCCATTAAATTCGTTGGCCATTCAGCTCCATGGGTTTATTAGGTCATTGCAAGTGAGTTGATGAATGGCACTTGAAAATTCCTCCTTTTTGAGTAAATTTGAAATATGTATTTCGTGAAATTCTTGTGGGGTATCACTTTAGTACCCCACGAGGATGAAAACTGGCCTTGTGGGGGTACCTTCCACTGTTCCAGTATCCCACGAGGCACTATGTACAAGTGCAAAATGGTTTGCCCCTTTCCTTTTTTTTGAGTTTGAGTCTGATTGACCTTTTATCGGAGAGTGGCGGTACTTTTACTGGTGGTCCTGTCCATACATGTAAATACTGAAATACCGGCAAATACCGTATGGAATTTGGATACCATACATGTACATGTAGTATTCTTGCTACTACAGCAAAACAGAATAAAGCAAAACCCACATACCGTTGTGTTTCACTCCATCTTTTGTGGTACCAGCCATCCAGTGTCAACCGGTACTGCATTGTCACTTGGAGTTGGTTTACAGCATGAAACTTAAACAACTACCAACTCAACAGCCAAAAGCCTTTGAAGTTTTATTCTATCACTGTGGTTCAGGTCTACTCTTAGAGCCTGACTGACAGTCTGCAGTAGCTGTTGGTATTTCCAGTCAATGTCACCACTTTGTACATGTACATGTAGCTTTGTTGCTGTTTGATGGCACTCGCTTACATGTACATGTACAGTAATACCCCACTTCAAAGAATGTCATGGTATAAGTGAATATCACAGTATTTTTATCACTAACATTGCGGTATTCGAAAATGCAATATCATCCAAGCTTAGATGGGATCTCTTTGGTTTAGCAACTAGACAGCAATAAACACTTTGACAGTACCGGTTGACATTGGATGGCTGGTACCACAAAAGATGGAGTGAAAAACAACGATATGGGGGTTTTGCTCTGGCAATGTAACATGCAGATAACGATGTCGTACATACAAAATACTAATCCATACGTACATGTACTGTACAAAATAGTAATATTTTTAACCATGTCCTGATACCCTTCCATAGAAAAGCATCGTTGGACTCAGGAGAAAAATCAGGAGATTTGACAGTGCAGTAAACATGGTAAAAACTTAACAAAATTCCAGAAACGTGGTGTTGGTGTTTCAAGCTCCTCATCTGTAGAGTTGGGGATGGTGTGAAGTCTTGCAATGTCTGTTGTTTCCATGGTTACTAGAAATGCTGACCCTGAAACATCCGGTGGAAAAACAGATTGTTGTTCATTGTATCTCTTCTTGACAGCCACAGAGTGAGCTCAGTTGGTGTGAAGGATTTGCTCAGGAAGTTGTACTCAGTGCAGTTGTTTGATACAAGATGGAGAGGGTGGCACTGTCCAAGAATCAATTTCAGGTCATTATGTGACATGTGAAGATTGAGTGTCTTTTGTCTTAGGTTGTCAGTGAAGCAGCCTGAACCACCTACATGTACATGTACATGTAGTTGACTGACAGTGGAGTTGGGTTCGTTGACAGGCAGACTTACCCCCGTCCCTAGTTGCTTTGTCTGATGGCTGTTATAGATACATGTACATGTACATGTAATTCTTGAAGAGGGGAATTTTGTTTCTTGGCTTGCTCGACACGAGGGACTTCACCCTAGTTGTATTAGGAGTTATAAAGGATCATTAATTGGTTGTGCCCAACTTAGTATGAAGGAAAAGCTTAATTGTGGGATGTGATTTATGAGAAATTGATTGGAATTTTTGACCATCCAGGCTGTGATTGTCATCTGACAATTACACCATGTATGAGGGTATACCGGTACTGTACATGAGGAAGAATTTTAAACCACATCCAGGAATTGATCTTTGTGGTTGGTTCACTGTGCCTTTCTAGTGTCAGTCTTACATGTACAGTACATGTAGCCTGCTTTTTCCCATTTCCCTGAAATGTTTTACTTGCTGTTTAGCTTCATGGTTTATTGGTACATGTAGGTTGTCTATGCACATGTAAAGGTGCATTTTATTGGAGTTCATTTTGTGCATGATTTGCTGGTGAAAGTACATGTACATACATGTACATGTGGTTTCTGAAATGTCTTTATTATCTCATCTGTGAAACCCTCTTGACATGTCGACATGCTTGAACACTTTGGGATGTAGTACATGTAAATCATGTAATCTCCATTCGGTTTCATTTCTTTGTCATGAAGGGAATTTCAGTACACTGTACAAAGATTGATAAGTACATGTACATGTACATGAATGAATACATGTATGCATACCAGTACATGTACATGTAGAATTCAGGTTACTGAATACAAATGTACAATGTACATGTACATGTGTAAATGTAAATGTACATGCACCAGTATATTGATATTTCTACAGTGTGCTCTTTGTGTCTGCTGCCTTCTACCACTTTTCAAACATTTGATTTACAAATTGACATGTTCATGGATGTGTGTTCATGATGTCAAATGTTGGGCATCAAGTTCACTTGTGCATGGAATTGTCTCAAACTACCGGTACCCAAGAATCAGTGATCTTTTAATGTGAAAGCACCGGTACCGCTACATGAATGATACAACTGTAGTTCCAGTCACATAAACCATGCCTTGTCTTTTTTGTTGGTTCTCTTCACAGATACTGGAGTTTACTACCAGCTTTGAGTATTGGCTTGTGATCTGACCTCCAAGCTCACCGTCATAGTATACCACACACCTCTCCATGTCACCATGCTGTCTGCTTTGATGTCAAGGAATTTCTGCTACATCATCACAAGTTTTTAGGTCAACCTGACCTTGAAGGATGGCATCTTACCCCTGGCATTGGGTTCGCATTGCTTGGTGCCTGCATTCACTGTCTTCATTGGCTAGCACCTGCTTGTGGGACAAGGTTAATGGACAAACCAATTCAATTGGAGGGCAACTTTAGCAGGTAGGATGCGAGGCAAATTGTAGTCAGATATGATAATGTTATGCACATGGTAACAGCACTGTCAGCTTCAAAGATTTGGTATCCCCTGGTGTGGATCCACACTGAGTTGCACTGTCAGCCTCAAGGATTTGGCATTCCCTAGTGTGGATCCACATTGAGTTGCACTGTCAGCCTCAAGGATTTGGTATACTATAGTGTGGATCCACATTGAGTTGCACTGTCAGCCTCAAGGATTTGGTATACCATAGTGTGGATCCACATTGAGTTGCACTGTCACTTGTCAGCCTCAAGGATTTGGCATTCCCTAGTGTGGGTGCCCATTTGAATTGCTTGTAATTATCCCTATTTATTGAGGTTAATTCCTCACTGTTGTCTCTTAACCGCCTCAACCTTTGCATATAAGTACA